TATAAAAAGTATCTCTTCGGAGATCTCGTCTTGTCGTCAAATGCTTATAAGAAAAGGGTGTATCGTGTTGATCTCTGTGTTTTTTCATGCATGAAGGACTAGAATTGTCCAATATGCATGAGCATAAGCGTGGAGACATAAATGCTCTAATCGAATTTGAATTCCCAATAAACCCTCAATGGCCAAGTTGGTTAACGCGTCTGCTAGACAACTAAAAAATAAGGAAGGCTGCATAGGCAAATGATATATAGGCCTATATATAAATTGAAAGGTTACATTGGCAAAGAGGAAATAACAAAGAAAATCCCCCAGCATGCTTGGTAGTGTATTTAATCAAATGGGCAAACGTTTTCAATGCTAAATTACAGGAAAGATTATATTTAATTTTACAAATTACTTACCTGCACCTAAAATAGTTCGATTGATAACATCTGTTCCATTAAGAAGAACTTCAAAATCATTACTACCCTCCGACGAAATTTGAAACTATGGAAAAAATTCTATATTTAAATAATGATAACAGTACTCGAATCGAATAGGAACATATGATGTTATAAACGTATCAAGCATAACTGTTTAAGGAAAGTTTTCTTTCAATTGTATAATAAAATGTATGGTGAAATTCGAAATTGCAGCCTCTCTATCAAGGCGAGTGTCATACCACTAGACCATAGAAGCTTATATTTTAAGCTTCCATACATATAGAAGTCGGTAAATCGTGATTTTAACGGTTACTTTGTTACTTTAAAACTGTAGTACTTATATAAAACGTATTAACGACCGAATAATTCTATTTCCGTGAAATGGATTACCGTTGTCGAGCCAATCTGCTGTACGGAAAAGGCTGTAAAGACTGTCGCATTGACATTTTCCTCAACCTTCTCAGTTCTACCCTGGACAATTATAAATTGATCGTCTACATCAACAAGAACATACTCCCCCAATCCATTGAATGTGAACTCTATACCATCTAGTGTCTGTAAGTGAGGGTCACCAAACATCCATCCTAAAATTGCAAAAAAATTAACTTATAAAACATTGTTTCATGAGTAAATAATAACATAAAGCGAATAGAATATTTCCGCCACTTCTCAGATTCCTATAATACGGAAATAGCAGTGATTAATTTAAATTTTTATAGAAAAAATGACAATAATTAGTTTTTACAGATGTTGATTCATGGTTATATTAGAGGAAGAAATTTAAATTCTAATTTTTTACATCAGTTTCATAAATGCTATGAGTACAATTAAAAAAAATATAATATAAGTCATGCCTGTTTTTGGTGGAACGTAACCATCGCATTTCCCTGCAGGACGTTTCTCAATGTAAAGATCACACAGTTGTTGGTCCTGTGACGCGTCGCAACAAAAATACCGTGGAAATAGATCGTCATCTTATAAAATGAAAGAGAAAGCAAACCTAAAGATTCGTACATCTAATATTAAATTCTGATGAAAACGTTTGATATTTATTGCTACAAGACTGATACTGGTTCACTTAAATCCAATTATACGCAATAATTTATCTAAATAATATAAATAATAATAATAATAATAATAATTATTATTATTATTATTATTATTAGTAGTAGTAGTTAGTAGTAGTAGTACTGGTATTAGTAGTAGTAGTAGTAGTAGTAGTAGTAGTAGTAGTAGTAGTAGAAGTGGTGGTAGTGGTAGTGGTAGTGGTGGTGATGGTGGTGGTGGTGGGTGTAGTTTTGGTGGTGATGGTGGTGGTGGCGGCGGCGGCGGCGGAGGTGGTTGTAGTTATAGTAATACTAATTAAAAATATACTTTAATATCCTAAATTTTAAAGAGAAAATTGAAACAAAATTAATAGATAGTTGTATTAAGTCTTTTACTGTTTACCCTCCTGCAAGTGGCGAATTTCATTTACTGTTTGTTGGGTATCAAAATGAGGTTTATTGTATTCCTTCCAGCATTAAACATGAGAACAAAGACAAGGACGAAGAAAGGAAGTTCAAATTACAAAGTAATCGATCAGACAAAAGCAAAATTGACATAATATTAAAATATTAATCAACAACTGCACTTCATAAGCCTTATTATAAAAATTATAATTAAGCAAAACAAGTAAAAAGAAACAAAATATATAACGTAACACTTAACCATTAAACACCAATTATAAAATATAGATCAGAATAGAAAGCAAGCAGTTACCAGTCCCCTGAACGAAGTTGTTTAAAATTATTATTTTTTCTTTTAATGTAGACCTACCCAGCTGTCACAATCAAAAGAATGTTTAATGTCTATGGATAAATTCTCAAATAAAAAAAAAACAATAAAGTCTATACAGAATTATGATTTGATAGAAATTGAATATTATTCAATTGCCAAATTGAATATCATTACGATATTTCCAAGTAAAATATGACTTTGAATATTAGCATCATCAATAGGCAAACATTTATTATTTTATAATAGGAATTGCCGATGACGCATGACCGAACATACATCTTCAGAATTCAGAAGTTTAGAGACACCCAACTGGACGTTTTGTTTTTACTGTTTTACATATATGTAGGCTATTCAAGATATGTCACAGCAAATATGATTCGGTGGTCTCCGAGCCCATTGAGGATATAAGTACGTCTTTATCAACTAGAAACATTTGGCTTATTTGGCGGAGCGCCAGATTTCTAACCCGAATGTTGCTGATTTGGTTCGAGCAACAGAGTATGATTTCTTTGCATCAAGGTATTAAATCGATTCTGATGGTCTTTACAAACGTAGAATTAAATTGAATAATCAACTAATAAACAGCTCATACGTACCTAAGTATAGTTGGTATTGATCAGCATCGATAGCAAACACTGATTGAAACTGATGTCTTAGTGCAAAACTACTCGACTGAGTATCTCCGAATCCTTCGATCAACGAATGGTCACTTCTGTAACAGCATTGCATACCTGCGCCGTCACCATTTGGCAATACAGTACGTATGCAGAATGCATTCCCTTTAAGATGAAATAATTTATGTAGAAATCAGTTCCATAGAAAACAGGGTATATTTAAAAATGTGACTTTTATTTCGCTTTGTTTGTGTGTGTTTTCGTGCATTGGTGTGTAAGTTATATAGGGTTTTAAGGAGAATGTGTTATACGTAGACATACTTATTATTTTCATTCATTCTTTCATTTATTCAGGCAAGTGCCTGACTTTATTCAATATTCTCTGAAGGCCACTTGTCCAATGAGATTCATGTTAAACATTGGGGGAGGGGGAGGTTTCTTCTAATACGTAAGGCAACATAAATGAATTTCGATAATTTAAACTGAACCTTATTGTTTCTAAATAAAAGTATAAGCTTAAAATGGAGTTGGATTATTCCAGAAATAAGGTAGAAGTAAAGACTCTCTTTATATTTTAGACACAGGGCAGATTTTATAGGTAAAAAGACATTTACGTGAGCCGTTAGGGTGTGCCCAGGATTGTAAAAAATGGTATTGGAGTCTATTTTCTCATAACTTGTCATCTTATGATATCACCATACCTCGGAACCATAAAGAAGGTTACCACTACCCTAATGATTACTACTTCCACTACCACTACCACTACCACTACCACTACCACTACCACTACTACCACTACTACTACTACTACTACTACTACTACTACTACTACTACTACTAGGGACTTGGCCTACTATTATTATTAGTTCGTGAGTAGCTTTATACTTGTGCATGCACGTCAATTTAAAAAAAAATTCTATTTCGTACATGTTGGTACAGTAAATGTACGCGTGAGTGACATTCCCTAAGGCCTAGGCCTATATTATTTTTTAGATGATAGGTTAATTATTATTTATTTTAAATTTATTTAATGTACTTTTAAGATAAAAATGGGGGTTCAAGTCTGCGAATGTTTCACCCTATATTCGCCATCGTGGTATTGCGGTCTACTACAGTTTGTTTACTTGACGTTTAAAAATGCACAAGTACAATATAGGTACAGATAGGCCTGTAATTCATGAAAAACGATGACAAAAAATAAATAATGGTGACGATAGGCCTAATGATGATGATGATGACTACGAATAAACTGGCCTATAATAAACATAGTTGATTTCTCATAACCAGTGGGACTTGTTTTCTATTAGTACTCGCATCACTCCATCTTAAAAAAATACTAGACCAACTGGAGCGTTGCTTATCTCGCATCGCTGGTATCAAAACTGCTCTGAAAATTAATATTCATGATTCTATTGCCGAATCCTATAGCGCTCCCAATCGACACTGCCTCAAACGTCCTGGAAAAAATGATTTCGCGGCCGGCTGGGCATCCCATTCCCAATGGATTTATGTCCTACAGTCGAGGTCAGAGACACATTATGCTGTTACGTATCAACAAAGCCCTTTTAGATCAGGGTGGTATAGAACAAGGACCCTGGGTAGGGGCACCGAAGGGCCCCTAAGGGTCGGTGGCCCTGTGCATAGGCGTTTACGCCACTGGGTATAGCTGTTGTTCTAGCAGGGTACTACATTAATAATGGTCTCCGTTTGACATTTTTTTACATCCTGACTTGTGAAATCGTTGGGAAAAAAAATCGGCGTCGGGGATATAGCATTGTGTTTGTCGGCGGGACTGATGGGGTGGGGGTGGGGGGCACGGGTCCCCGTGTCCCACCCGCTGGATCCGCCCGTGAACTTAGAAAGATCCATGGAATATTCATACCAGTCATTTCTGGTAATTTGGCTGCTTTTTAGATATGAATTTCCAGACTTCTTAGTGATTATTCATGTTTACAGATGTTTTTTATATGTTTTTTGTATATTAATGTATATATCAAGGTCATACGTGTGTTAGTAGTGCGGAATTCATGCTGGGCTGTATATTTTCGTATATAGTTTGTTTTACACTCTTGATCGTACCAAAGTTTATCGTGTGCCGCGTTTAATTGCTTTTTTGTTTCATTATTTTGCCTGCTGTATATAGTATATTATATGTTATCTGTGTATAAATTTAATGGTACTTCTGTAATAGTATTTTTCACTAGGTTATTAATGTGGGATTTAAAGTTGTCGACTAGATTTGTATTCCGTTTAAACGATGGTTGGGTGATATTTATTATTTTAATGTGTTTGTTTACGTTGGAAATAGTGGTATTATTTTCTGGGGCTGGATTTACCATGACGTGGGCTTTAATTGGCATATGCCCAAACCCTGGGTAGAAAACAACTTCAAAGAATGTAACTTTGTCGAAAAGTTCTGGGGTGAATGTAAATTTACCATTGGTATCTTCCATGGTACGGTCGTTTAAAATACGTACGTCTGAGTAAAAATTATAGCCAGGATCTAGGAACATGTTATTTATTATACTAAAAGTTAATTATTAATTTGAAACTTACATTGAACATTATATACACGAAAATAATATGTGATTTCCCATGATAATAATTAAATTTTGAAATGAAGATTTCATAAAGATAGAGGAGTAACAACAGGAGCACAAAGCACGTGCACGGAGTGCCGAACTAAAGAGGCACCCAGAAAGAGCCTGGAAAAAAATATATGTGGGGCTTCTAAATTCTGATTATATTGATGAATTTGTTTTATATAACAACCACAAGAACAATACCTCCGAGCTGGAAAGGACACAATTTCGACTCTTAACTTGAGCTCTAAAAACCCAGTTAAAACTCTGCTTAAAGACCAACATATTTAGTTGTTGCATCTTGAAATAAGCTCAATTAATTTAAAAACCGATGCAGCATACAATGGTACTAAATGTTTTAAAGAAATTTAAATTAACCTACCAGCTAGCTCTTGTATGTCTGCTAATAACGAATCATCTAATTGTTGATCGGTTGCTGTACTGTTACTTTGTGAAAACGCCAAATCTCCACTCCCTTGATCAAATCCACAGGGACAGGAACCTAGCTGTCCAATCCATGAAGCCGGATCAGGCTGTCTATCGTACCATTCTACGCACATGACGCACGGGTTCACGGTATCTGCTGTATTACTTTCACTACGATAAATCCACCTTCCTTTAAGATTTGTGTTTCCATCTACATTATCTGGCCTGTATGCTCCGTCGATAGTACTAAAATAATCAATCTGTGCATTTTCGAATCCATCGTCACGGTTAAACCCAATGATGAGATTCTTATTGATAATAATTGAAGTATCCCACTGCATTTTCGTCTCCTCAAAATTGAAGAATATTATTCCATAAATTCCATCAGTTATTAATGCTGCTTGGAATGTATTAGGCTGGAAGGTAGAAACAGTAATAGGCGAGTAAATGCAAACTGTAATAATTGTATTGTTATAATTTTAGACGTAAACACAGTTGCCTCAAAAGCAGTTAAATCTGTTACTATAATTATACTTGCGCTTACCCTTTCAAAAGTGAAGTTTGCCAGATATTGAGGGACTTGATACCATGTAACAACTAACATCCACGTGCCATTAAATTGTAACTGACTGGTTTCGGGATTACTACGAATTCTTTCATTTGCATCCATAATGACGGAATCATAAGTGTCATGAAGCTGTGCAAAACAACATTTTTTCATAGGTTAATTATCTATATAATAATATATATTTATTATCATATTATCGTAGTTTAATTTCATAGTTTAAATAGTTTTATTATAATTTAATTATTTTAGCGTCTGCCTTCAACCAACCAAACCAAACTATATAATGTATTGTAAACGAGATTGTAATAATGGGGTTACAAGACAGATTGTTTCATTAACTGAAATTATCCAGAGGCATTAACGCAAACAGTCTATTTTTTTTGTCCAGTAAGTCAACACTATGCAAATATAATCACATAAACAAATGTTTACATTACCCTGTAGAATACATCGCCATAGTCTTGAGACAGGTCAACATCGGTCCAGAATGGCGCAACAATCATAGCCTCAGAATTTGCACCAGTAAACCCTTCATCATACGCATTTGGATATCCATACCTTTCTGAATTCTCTTCAGGAAACACGATCACACCATTCTCAGTGAACTGTGATGTAAAATTATTATAAGCAACGTTGTAGATTTGTTTTTCTGAAACCAGATTCTATTCTTTCTTCATAATGTACCAATTATTTATGTACCATTGATTATGTTTTTCAACAATAATATTCAGAGTACAGTAATTTTAAATTGCTCAAGCTTATCCTTCTTATTATCAAAACTATTTATACAGTAATTACTAAATTTATATAATTTATTTAATTATTAGTTAATTAGAAACTAAAGTTTAGGATTAAATAATTATACTGTATTTATAGATTTTCTGTAATATTATGTGATGTAATGTATACAATATTCAATGTTTAATGTCTTGATTTATTTAATATACTTCAATAAGTCATAATAAGTGATGGATTATCTTCAGAAATATGGTCAAAATGAATATAATAATTTTTATAAATAATATAAAAATTAAACAACGAAGTAATTTTGTTCTGTCAGTAGTTTGTACATGTAGACAATTTCTATTTGATTAAAATGCAATCTTCGGATTTCTACCTTAATTCAGTATTCAAATTTGCAATTTCTCAATTTTCACTGTTTTTAATAATTCTAATCTTATTTTACTACACAAAATCCATATATATCTTTATTTTATTTTTTAAAATTATATATTTTTCTTTTCTCCTTGTCTGTCTTGTCTTGTCTTGTCTTGTCTTCCCTTTCCTCTTCTGTCTTTCTTCTTTTGTAATTTGTTTGGGCTCTGTCCCCTCTCTTGTCGTTTATTTTAAGAACGTGATCCTAGGGAGTTTTTCTTTATGTTTTGCTTTTATCCAATTTTTGTAATGTGTTTTCTTTGTGTTTTTGAATAAAAGTGATTTTAAATTTTAAAAAATACCGAAGCATAGTAATGCGAATACTGTTAGAGGTAGGCATTAGGGAAGTTGTTGTTCTTATTAGTTTCTTATAACAGTATTTGGTAAAGATAGATTATGCATAGTAATGTTTATTATTTTGAGGGATTGAATGTTTAGCATTACCGCAGGGTGCCCTTCAAGGTAGCGTAAAGTTGATTGTGAAGAATGCTGTTAAGTGTGTGATTCTGTTTCATATCTGGTGGAAAGTAATCTCTAATCAGAGAACAGTTAATTTACTTATTAATTGTAATTTAACTGTTCCCTGCTCTAATGAATAAAAAAAAAATAGCTCGCCAACTTACGTATATCTCTTTGTAAAATTTATTACCAAACGGGAATCCGCATCGCGGTCTAAATGTGACTGATATCAGCTCTGTACCATTCGTACGCTCATGCTTCTCTCGTAAACTTGTATCTTGATCGAAGTCGAAGAAGATTTTTTCTACATAGAAATAGCACTTTAATTGCTTACTCATATTTTTTCGTTTGCTCGATGGCAATGTGTTGCTGTTTATGGTTCCTGATCTGTTTTATTAATGATGTGGTATTGAATATGTCTGTTGTGTAGATTACGCCTATTATAATAATGATGACTACGATAACTATAACAAAATAATATTAGTAAAGAATACAACCTCCTTGTGGTAATAATAATAATAATAATAACAATAATAATAATAATAACAATAATAATAATAACGAATATAATGATAATAGTGATAATAATGCTAACAAATAATAATAATAATAATAGTAATAATAATTATAATAAAGATGACGACGATGAGAGCAATAATAATATTATAATGATAATAAATAAAAACCTATAAAGAGCAACATTATCTAGGCATAAAGGGACAGACAACCAAAAATACATCACCGTCATTTAGCAGTTCATGATGCAACACTGGTCAGCATGATTTAAAACGGGCACACACCTTTGTGTAAGACGGTCGTACAAAAGTTAAATCAAGCGGTAACCAACCATCTCAAAAGCCAATAACTCAATTATCACCACCCCTTCCCGCTTGCTCATTTTATGGGCGTTGAAGAGTAGGTCTACTTAACCAGAAAAGAACCAGAACCGTTGGCCGACGTACCTGCCTCCGTCTCCGTGAGCGCTTGACAACGCAAGCCGTCTGCTAATTGCTTGTGGCAAATGTCATTGAAAACGCATTGTATTCTCCTTGAATGTACACTAAATAAAAAGTCCTAAAAATTTGCCTTTAATACACTAAATAAAAGTCCTAAAACTTTGCCTTGCACTAGTTTCATGAGAGTATCTAGAAATGGCAGTGCTGCTCCAAATTTCATAATTTAGTGTAATATCATTACATAGAGCCTAGCCTAGGCACTTTAATTATAACAGGGCCTATGACCACAGACGTTTCTATGTCAGCTTAAAGCCCCATTCCCGGCAAAATTTCACTAAAAATGACTTTTTTTAGAAAGTATGCATTTGCATTACTCCAATTATTATAAATCATGGAAAAATATTGGCATGAATTTTAGTTTTACGCAAAAGAATAAAAATATGAGAAATACAGACTATTTCTCATAAAATATTACCATTTTCTCGACGAATTCATCGTTACTAGGCAAATTCAGAGGTTGTAGATCGCATCCACTGGAATAATCTCGCTTTTATGCATACTTTATACAGTCAATAAAGAGCGCCCTCTCTAATGAGATTACTTTTTGTACTTCGCATCTCGCACAATGCGGTCGTTCGGTTAGGCTGAGATATGTTTGTTTAAGTGTCAAAATCTCAGTCAGAATAAGTTTTTTNNNNATATTATATTTCACAAGTGTCAATACTAGCAACGGAAAATATCATGTCGGCCGTTTTTATGTGTGATAACAGAACCTAAATCGAGGTAAGGCTAGGCCTAGCCAGCAGCGTTGGATAGGCTAATGTTTTCGGCGACTACGATATTTCTTCTCACGACCTATCGCAAAATCAACATGAAAAATTCATCCGCATTTATTTTTTGTGTGGAACACAAAAAAATCAAATTTCAGTCTTATTTTACAATTTTTCATACTTAGGAATGTCTAAATTCAGTTAAACTAGCAATTCCGTATTATATTTATAAATCTTTATAACACTATGTTGTATGTCCATATCAGGGAACAGTGAAATTTCACTGTTCCCTGGTCCATATATAGTCATGCTGTGCCTATATTTGGTCATGATCTGATGTCATCTTGAATATAGGCACGTCAAATGTTTTTGTAAAATAAAATTTGATAGTCTGGATAGGGCTTTAGGCTATCAAAAAAAAATGTTTATTTTTTTTGCAAATCAGTCTGGGCTTGAACGCAGATATAACATAAAGTATAGTCACCATAGCACTTGAAGCCATCACCAAAATAACCTTCATTACATGTGCAACTGTAACTTCCATCTGTATTGTCACATGATGCCGACACGTGACAATTATCAACTTCCTCAGCACATTCATTGGTATCTGAAAGTATCATTTATTTTAGTAAATGCACAGGATTTGTTTATTTAAGTTTCTTTACATTTTAAATGAATTTAAAAATATTTTAAGTTAATTTTTTAGTTCTGTGAAAGTCTGTGTATTATAAGAATTTAATTTTATATTTATAGGCCTACTTATCTATTCTACATGTTTGTATTCAGGAAGGCAACTAATATATGTTGTTCTATATGAATAAAATAATGAATCTTAAAAATCTTTAAAATGCAGATTATAATAATTATCTGCAAGTATTTTATAGATTTGCGATATTTATCGTTAACATTCAAATAAAATTGCTATATTAAAGGCGACTTTAAAACAACAAATATAATTTTTATTAATAATAATAATAACAATAAAAAAATATTAATATAATAGAAATAATAATAACAGCAATATAACGTATGTACTGTTAATCAATTACAGAACATGTACCAGGTTACAGTAAAACAACCGACGAATCTGTATTTTGTTGAAAAAAACATATTTATAGGGAGGGTGACTCTTCCATTGTATCCTTCTAAGGGCCCTCTTAATGAAAGGAAATAACGTGATGCTTTTATCAGTGAAGTCTTTTTATGAGGCTTAGGGAGTGGAGCTGTTGTTAGTCGTGAATTGAACCTAGAGCACTGGGATTAGCAGACAAGCATCTTAACTACTAAGCTACGCAACCCAACTCTATTGATTAATAGGCCTATACCACCGAATAAAAATACTGTGTAGACGCTTTCCCAATCCTTACCTGTGGTACAATTTACACCTTGCCATGCATTCGAGCAGCTACAGGTGTAGTTGGCCACTCCATCTGTACATGTACCTCCATTCAAACACGGGCTGGGATCACAGTCATTAATTTCTAAATAAAATGTATAACATTATAATTTTCAAAATATTGTTTTTATTCCGAATGAGTGAGCTACAGCGTAAAAAATCCTTATAGCTCCTTGATTTTACATTAAAACGGACGTTTACTGAGTGTACAAAAAATCCTTGGCAAGTTTCTATAACCGAAAGTCAGATGTCCGAATATTCCTTCTAGAAAAACAGCTGGACATTTTTTGTTGGTTTTATTCGGTTTTTTATTCGATGTTGAAAATCAACCAGCTTTGCAAAGTGAGCCTCAAAACAATTTAAATGTACCTAATTCAGAACTCATTTTCTATTGTGAAATATACTTACTAAACTTATTAGAAACACTGAAACTAAATGTTCGTTAATAATGATACTTCAAAAATTTTGTCTTCAGTTATCACTATAATAATTATACCAGTATGACAGCGAAAACCACGACTCATTTTGTTATGACTCCTCATCCCCCATCCTTTAAAATCTCTTTGAAAGTTCATGATTATAAAAGAAACAGATTATGTAGATTGGGTAATGTTTTGAATTAGTATCATCTGTGTAAAGTGATATAATAAGACACCAAAAACTAATGCTCTAATAATGAAATATATTAGTCTATAAAAATAATAATCTTACCAAGGCATGTAGGAGTATTATCAATGTAGCGGCCATCGTTGCATATTAATGTCTGGGCACCTATCAAGTCATATCCATTATTGCACGAAAATGTAACAGCTTGGCCGTGGATGATTTGAACATCAGGATATAACTGTCCATTGTCAGGTGGTTTTAGGCTATTGCAATTTTCTGTAATAAAAATCAGCACACATTTAGAAATTTTAAACTTTTAAATAAATGCCTAGACTGAATTTGTAGAATTGTATGTATAGATGTTTGTTTGAATTTGAAAAAAAACAAAAATGCTGTACCTTATCTGACAAAGCGCTTAGAGGCCTTGTAAAGGCATGAAGCGCCATATAAGAACGACATATTATTATTATTATTATTATTAAAGCATAATCAGATATTGTCCTTTAAGTTTAACCAAAAACACTAGAAATACAAGGTAGAGCACTCGCATAGCAAAAATGAGACGGAAATTGGTCCAGGCGTATGCGGCACCCTTCTCTTCTTATTTTATAATGCAAGTTTGCTATACTTGATCCAGACGTATAGGGCGCCCTTCCGTTGCTAAGTATATCCATACGCATACGGCACTCTTCTTTTTTAATTAATGGAGGAAAACGTTATCACTAATTAGAGTTCAGTCATACGATTCTGCACTTTGATGTCTGTCATTTTATTGTTTTTATTTATTTAATGCCTACTTATTGTATCTTATGGATAATGGCAACAATTTCTACCTCTGCAAAAGAAGGTTATGTATACACAATTGTGTAACGCTGACATAAGTTTTTTAGATCCAGCCGTACGTACGCGACGCCCCATTGTTTGTATTCCCACCATGCATTTCGATGGAACAATTTTTTTTCTGTGTTTCTGGTATCTTTGCTTTAACAGACAAACCTAACTTGAAGCTCTATCTACACTACCAAAGTGGGACAAAAAATGCTCATATTTTGGGTGTAATGATATTGCATCTTCATCATCACAACAACTTAACACGAATAATACAAATACATCACACAATTTATTTACGTAAAACTTGAGAGTGTGGACAAAGATTTAGAGTATATTTCTAACTATAATAGTACCAGGTGCATGTGTTATTCAATTTTTTAAAAATTGGAAAAAAAACCCATATATATAATATCGTATTACTGTACATCAAATATACTTTAAACATTAGATATTATAGAACAAAGAGGAATGGTAATATACCATTTTTTTACCAGAAATGTTTATGTTTACTTACCGTGACAATCCGGTGGATCATTTGACCATTGTGTATTATTACATATACTTGTGGAACTACCAGACATTGTATATCCGTCAAAACACATATAAGTTATACTTTCACCAGGTTTATATCTGAATTTGAACGGGAAAAAGTAACTGTTTTTATGGCTGTCTGGTATGTCACATGTTTCTAAAAAGAGAGTGAGAAATAAAATACCAGTATTAATAACAGTGTGATTGCAGTTTATCAAGGGGTTGCGCCACGATTTGCCCAACGAGGATTGGGGCCACTCTCCGACAAGAGCGTAAGTGGGAGTGGTCAGGCCTCACCCAAAATGTCTCGAAAGTGATTCAGGGGGTAAACGCTCCCGGAAACTATGACAATTTATAATATGTAAAAAATACATATAATTTTAGAATTTACTAATAGGTAAAATATACATATAATATTTTCTTCTTCATGAGGAATTGTGTAATTCTCCCCGACGGGGGGAGCGCACTCCCCGACGGATGGAGGGAGAGTGGGGGGCTGACTTTGGCCCCCTTGGCGCCACTCCTGTATTATATTACTTTCAGACTATTTGTTTATTTTACGGTAACACACAGAACTTTGGACAGTTATACACGGTAAAGAGTGATTAATTAAGTGTGATTACAGACAAAGTGTGATTACAGACAAAAGTGTCCATTGTGACTATTTTACATGCATATTGGTAAATTCTTGTACCATATTTAGTAGATAAACTTTTGAATAGTAAATGTAAATTTTTCTTTAATAGCATACCAATATATTCAAAATAAAAATGCAAGGTAACCTTATTAACAAAAGTGGCTTCTGGGGCATTTTTTGGGATGAAAGCAAATACCAAATAAATGAATGATAAATAGGCCTAATGGTAATAACCATAGTGATGACGATGATAATAGCGAAGGACGCAATTTAAATTGCAATGATTATTTCGAAAAGACATGTTTAGTTGGTCTATTCCACATTGGTATTTAACTCACACACTTCAACCTCTGATGTAAAGAAACCCATGTTTTATAAGACAGATGTTTCATAATCATAAACATTCACAAACCAGCACATATATCAAGTTCTTCATCTTCATTGTTCAAGCAATCATTCATGGTGCTATCACACAAAAAATCGTTTGGTATGCATTTCCCGTCACTACATCTGTATTCGTCTTCCTTACAAACTGAAAATAAACAGGGGTTTAAACATTTACTTGTTTTCAATTAGACTTCATAGAATAATATGAAACAATGAAAATGTATATTAACGACCTGCTACTGATCGTGTAATGACTACGTAATTATTTTTCAATATATAAAATTCGTTTGGTCAACTAAAAATGAAAGGAACACAAAATATATAATATATTTTTATATTTAGGGACCATAAATCGCACAGTTAAATGAACACGGCCTGTTTATGCAAAAGAGTCCTACATACATAGGCCTACAAAACTATTTATGTTAAGTGCATATCTAAATTGAATTTATGATGAGCACGTATTAGTCCAGTAGCAGAAAAGTGGATATCACCACCCGAAGTGGGACAAATTTTCATCCAACTTTTCTAGACCAAATTTTTGTGTAGATTCCGAAAATGGAGGGGAATTAGCCAGGTTCGGGATTTTCGAGACATGAGGGGCAAAGGTCAAAATTGATGAATTATAAAAATTTACGTGAATGCCCAATTATAAAACCTAAAACATGATGATTAATCACGTTGATATGCTTTTAGATATCTAATTGTCATTAAATAAGTAAATCAAATGATTTTATCAGCCAATATTCGGATGAAAGGTCAATTTTAACCATTATATGGCCAAATATAACAATTTATAATAATAACCAATCAGGGAAGCTATAGTCATTGTGTATATCACTCTTTTTTGTGATGTATATACACCTTCATCATAAAAACCCAAATCGAACAATTTGGTCTACCGATGTTAAGGTAAAAGTTCAAATTTACCAATAGAAAGAATAACCAAACATAAAGTATAACATTTCGTGTTTTAAGTCAGTGATTTAAACTTTTATCACTTTATGTACAATACCAATAGATATAATCTTATTAAAATCAATATGATTTGATCAGCCGATATTGAGGTCAAATGTCAAAATTGACCAGTTATAACAATTTACTACAATAAACATTTAGGAAACCGAAAACTTCGGTGTTTTATAACTTTTTTATGGTATTAGATATCTATTTGTTATAAAATAAGCAAATAAATAAATTAATAAGTTAATTTTATCAGCCGAAATAAAGGTCAAACGTTAAAATAATAAATTATTATTATTATTATTTTTTTATAATAACCAATTATGGAAGTTGCATTTCATGTTAGTGCCTATATCATAGTTTTATGCTTTCAGGTAACTAATCGTCATTACAGTAGGAAATCAAATACACTAATTTGATCCCAATATTATGGTCAAAGGTAAAAATAGACAAATTATAACAGCTTACTATAATAACCAATTATAAAAGCTAAAATATGGTATTTTAGCACTTTGTTATGTATTTAAGTAATCATTATTTAAAAAAAAAATAAATGAATAAATTAAGTATCATCCAGGGTTTTGGCGTTTTTTTTTATATCCTCAACGGTCAGTTTTAACGGAATTAAGGTAAATATAGTTAAAGCTAAACCTCGCTGTTTGATGCTTTTAGGGATCGATTCGCCAGTCTGCAGTCAAGCAGTTTTCTTAAATTCTGATTGCCGCTTTTATATTGGTCTTCACGTCTTTCTGATTGTATTAAGACTTTTCGTCCCAATTTTTGGAAAGTTTGAGATTTTTGTATGCATTTATATATATATACATATATATATATATATATATAATAATAAGAAAATAAATAAATGATATTAAATAACTAATGTGTTTCTTTTTTTCATAATATCAAACTCAAAGACCTCAATCACCAAGCGCATAGAGGCTTTTTTTGCATGATGCGCTATACAAATTCAAATATTATTATTATTATTATTTTTTTTTTTTATAATAACCAATTATGGAAGTTGCATTTCATGTTAGGGCCTATATCATAGTTTTATGCTTTCAGGTAACTAATCGTCATTACAGTAGGAAATCAAATACACTAATTTGATCCCAATATTATGGTCAAAGGTAAAAATAGACCAATTATAACAGCTTACTATAATAACCAATTATAAAAGCTAAAATATGGTATTTTAGCACTTTGTTATGTATTTAAGTAATCATTATTTAAAAAAATATAAATGAATAAATTAAGTATCATCCAGGGTTTTGGCGTTTTTTTATATCCTCAACGGTCAGTTTTAACGGAATTACGGTAAATATGGTTAAAGCTAAACCTCGCTGTTTGATGCTTTTAGGGATCGATTCGCCAGTCTGCAGTCAAGCAGTTTTCTTAAATTCTGATTGCCGCTTTTATATTGGTCTTCACGTCTTTCTGATTGTATTAAGACTTTTCGTCCCAATTTTTGGAAAGTTTGAGATTTTTGTATGCATTTATATATATATACATATATATATATATATATATAATAATAAGAAAATAAATAAATGATATTAAATAACTAATGTGTTTCTTTTTTTCATAATATCAAACTCAAAGACCTCAATCACCAAGCGCATAGAGGCTTTTTTTGCATGATGCGCTATACAAATTCAAATATTATTATTATTATTATATAATTTGTGTGCTTTATTTTATTTTATTTTAGAATTAAAGTATCTTAGAACACTAATGTTTAGCTTTGCTCGACAGGCTGCCCTATAGAAATGCAGTTTAATAAAATAAAAAATAAAATCAAAAACTAAACCGTTTAACGTAAGAAACTGACCTTAATTCGAAGGATAAAATCTGTTCATAAATTGTCTTTAAACCTGACTATATTGACCAAAATACTATTACTTTTAGCTCCTGTATTTTGTATGTTCCTGTGTTTCAATGCAAATGTTGATTAACTTCATCAGAGACCAATATTTTTTCCACCTTATGAAAAAAACATAGTCGAAAGAAAAATGAACAAGTTGTACCTAAGGAGAGTCTTTTGGAGATTCGATCAAGCTGTTTAATGTGCAAGGAAGAATATCTGTATCAAAATGATGCTCTAGTAAAGTGACCACGTAGAGGTAGTAGCGTTTTTATTGATTTACTTATTCATCATATTTCATTTATTGATTCATTTCTCTTTACTACCATGTTATAAACATATATTTTTTTGGAAGGACCCACAGTTGAAAGCTTTTTTCTTGTCGTGGTTTATCAATATGTAACTTTTGTGTTATTATTTGTAATAATAAAGAAGATTTGCAATAAAATGTTATGATTGATTGATTCATTAAGTGCCCCTGACTAAGGTTTCATTGGGCCTTATACTACCAGGTTTTGAGGACACGAAAATATTTTCTATTATTTTTTGAGAGAGAGAGAGAGAGAGAGAGAGAGAGAGAGAGAGAGAGAGAGATTCCCATAATAAACATTTTCGATTTGTAACAACACTCCTGTGTAGGTTATTGTTTGTACAACCAAAGGGCGATTCAAATGCATAAAGCCAGGGTAATAAATGCCACATGGCTGACTTTTGACTTTGTTTATTTATTTTTTAATTGTGTTAGAAATGAACAATTATTATTGGCCAACTTTGGTCTCTGAACCTGATATCGGTTGATCCAATTTTCTGATTTTATATTTTTATACTGATCAGGCTCCTAAAAGTGCAAAACAAAGATATAACTCTGAATTGCAGATTATAATTGGGTATTAACAGTAGATATTTATAATGGTCATCAAATAGTATATTCTGACTTTTGACCCAATATCGGCTGATCAAATCATATTAATTTTATTGTTTTAATGCAATTTTATTAAAATTATGGCAAACAAGTGCTAAACCACAAGATTTTAGGTTTAATATGTATTTAATAGTAATTTTCTTTTTCTTCTTAATGATTTTTTAAAATTTTGACATGTGACCCTGGATATCTCGAAAAAGCCCCCGCATTCGGCCGATCACCCTTCAGATTCGTAATCTACGCACAATTGTGGTCTAGAAAAGTTGGGTGGTTATTTGTTTCTCGCCGATTGGTAATTCCCCCCTTCTGCTACTGGACTACATCCTATGTCTACTACAACCTGTATACATTTCTATATTTTCGATGTTGATTGGCTGTGAAACGGCACCAGTCACATGAAAATAGACCAACTGACCGTTAAGCCTAATAAGCATTGAGATTATTGCTGAATCGAGAAGGTGATTGGTTAGATAGAGTTGACACTGTTGAAGCTATAGCGCCACATCACTGCTCCAAATGCCAAGCAAAGGAAATCCCAGGCGGGGACACACTGCGAAGCGATTTTATGGAAACAGCAACGTAACGAACTGCGACAAGTACAATCCATTAAGATTAAAAGTAAACAAACTGAGTCATCAAGTTGTCAAAGGCTCGTTCAGCATGGAGGAAATATATTAACATTTTCAGCTAGGAATTATTAAATTCGTATACCAACGCAGTGTGTTATATATTAAGCTAGCTATTATGTGTTATATTAAGTGTGTTATTAAGTTTTAGATTAGACGATATACACAGTTATTACATAAAAAGGCATTTTAAATATGAAGGGTGAATGTACTCACCACATCCAGCCTCCTCTGTTTCATCGTAACCATTAATGCAGTCTATGTGCAGATCACAAAGATATGATTCTGGAATACATATTGAACTCCCAACACATAGAACCTGACCAAGAGGGCAGGTGACAACTGTTAAAAAAATATAAATAATTTTCTTTCAATAGTATTGCATATTTGAAAAAAAAGGAATGTACATTTTAATAGTTCAATGGTAAATAAACAAAATGGTGTTAGAAAAAAAGAGATCAGTAAACAATGAAGTATGTTCCATTTTACATTTGAAAATAATACAAAAATAGTATAATAAAAAGGAATAATAAATATTACCTGGAATTGTTGTAAATACTGTGGTGATTAGTAAAGTAGTAGGCTCCAAAGTTCTAACACTTCCAGTTGTTGATGGTACTGTATTCGTAGTATCTACACTTGTTATCTGTAAGGTGGTTATATCAAAAGAAGTTGTAGAATGATTTACCGTTGTTACGTCACTAGTAGTCACATCACTGACTTCATCGTTTGTGATATCTATAGATGTTACCTCCTCAACTGTTGTTAAATCATCTGCCGTTGTTGATGGTATCGTTTTAGCATCAAGTAATGTAGTTATCTCAGGCTCACTTATTACTTCATCGGTTGTGATTTCTATTGATGTTAGCTCGTCTACTGTTGTCAAATCATCTACTGTCGTCGATAGTATAGATGATGCATGGAGGAAGGTAGTTTGCTCAGCATCACTCGTTACTTCAGCGGTTGTGATATTTATAGATGTTACCTTCTCTATTGTTGTCAAATCATCAACCGTTGTCGATGGTATGGTTGTTGTATCAACAAATGTAGTTTGCTCATCCTCACTTGTTACTTCATCGGTTGTGAAAGCGATTAATGTTAAATCGTCTACTGTTGTCGATGGTATCGTTGTCCTCTCAAGTAATGTTATCTCAGCTTCACTTGTTACTTCATCAGCTGTGATATCTATTGACGTTACCTCCTCTGCTGTTGTCAAATCACCAACTGTTGTCGATGGTATCGTTGATGCATCAAGCAAGGTAGTTTGATCAGCATCACTCGTTACTTCAGCGGTTGTGATAGCAATGGATGTTACCTCCTCCAATGTTGTCAAATCATCTACCGTTGTCGACGGTATGGTTGTTGCATCAACAAATGTAGTTCGCTCAGATTCACTTGTTACTTCATCAGCTGTGATATCTATTGACGTTACCTCCTCTGCTGTTGTCAAATCACCAACTGTTGTCGATGGTATTGTTGTTATATCAATTAG